TGGCCTAGGGGTATTTTAAAGGGGTTTTAAATTAAATTTTTAGTAGAAGCGGCCAAATTTAAATAGTTATTTTTAATCTTTTTAAATTTTGTATTGTATTATATCATTGTTTTAAACTGGCTGTAAGCCGCCCTGAGTCCTCCGGGAGAAGGGCGGGGTATAAATTTAATAAAATCAAATCAAAATCAAATCAAATCAAATCAAAGAGAGATCCAACTTGAAATATCCAGCTGATTATGAGAGTTAGTGAAACAGTCTGCCTCCTGGAATCATGAGTGTTCCATAAATGGAAATTTTCAAATAAATATTAGACAACCATTGGTCTGGGATTGTCTGAGAAAGATGTGGCATGGGGTTGGACTAGGAAATATTTTTGCAGCCCTATAATTGGATATTAGAGTACACTTTATAATGTGTTCATCTTATGTTTAATATATCAACTCAAGAATATTAGAAAGGGTATTATAACAGAGTATAGCAATTAATCTTTTACATTAATTCTTTCTAGCTTTTTTTCAGCATAGGTAACAGATTTAATTCCTGAAATCCCTTCATCATTTTTCAATGAAAAGAAATTTATTCAGATTAATAAATTAATTTTAGCAAAATCTCTGATATAGAGTTTAACTGATACCATAACTTAGATTTCTGAAGCCATAGTCATAGTCTGTCTATTTTTGCCTTTTTAGAATACAATTCCTTTTTTCCCCAAGGAGCTGCTATTTTTTAACACTTTAAATGGTGTTAACTATTAGAATAAAAACAAATTCTCATATTCAAAAAGGGATACAAAAATATGTTAAAATTCTTTATTATCTGTGGCATCAAGCTTTCATTTAAATGTTTTACAAAATGATTTTAATAATTTTTTTTTTGTAGGCAAACTGCAGAATTGTCATAACAATGGAGTTGATGCTAAATAAATTGAAGAGCACTGTTACAAAAGTGACTGCAGATGTTACAAGTGCAGTCATGGGAAATCCTGTAACCAGGGAATTTGATGTTGGTCGGCACATTGCTAGTGGTGGCAACAAACTTGCTTGGAAAATATTTAATGGCTTTAAAAAGTCAACAAAACAGGTAAGCTTTTTGGGAAAGAAATCTGTATAATCATAGTCGTGTTTCAATGACAGAATAAAAGTTGTTGATTATGCTCAACATTATAATATTTGTGGAAGTGATGTTCATATATGTTCCTGTTAGGTTTCTAAAGTGTCTGAATATTTAAAAAATATGAGAAAACTAGAGAGAATTAAATATATATTTAAATTAAATAATTTCTTAGACTACAATCTAAGGAGGTTGTTTATCTGTAAGTAGATATATGAACTCTATCCTAATCTATCTCAGATGTGTGTGCTTACATTGCTATCAAGTATTCAGATGTCAATGAGACACCTTGAATATGTCTTTACTTTAGTGTGGTGGTGTTATCGCATTAATCCTGCGATAATGGTTACAGGAACAAGTCTCTGCAGTTGTTGCAACACCCCGATGATCGCATTATCAAAATGATCACCTAATGACTGCTTCACTTAGTGATAGAAATTTCAGTCCAAACTAGGGTTGTCAGAAGTACTGGTAGGTGAAAGTGATTATGTATAAGTTTGATAGATTTATAAATAAGATACTTCATGTCACATGTAATTTTTAATTAGTAATTATTTTGTTGTTATAGCTCTTTTAAATAAAATATTCACAGCCATGTCTCCTTTTTCTTTGAGAGTAGGGGTTTCTTAAATACCAAATCATCTCTTCTTTAGATAAATATAAAAAAACTTGTGCAGGTTTTCAGGATAGACCAAAACTATGACTAAGAGTAAAAAATATATCGTAAAAATATTTAGCAAAGTCATCTTCTGGACACACTGAAATCACATTTTTATCATTTATTTTTTTGTTTCTTATTTGCTGATCTTTTAACAGTGAAAAAATGGTTAGTTCTTAAGCATGCTAATCTTCAGACAGCTTTTTACACTAGTAACATATCCATGTTATCCTGTATTTTCTAATCTATCTACCATTTATTTCTTATGAATGGAGTTAGGGTCACTCCTAAAATCCTGCTTGCTCAACAGTTATACTTATATACTTGGTATCTATTGGCATGTTGCCCCATTGAAATACTATTTATTATTGCTAGTAAAAGACAAGAATCAGGTTGGGATATATTGGTCGGAATTTCTGGAATTGCTTGGGAGAAACGACATTCAGTAACTATGACAAATATGTAACTCCGCAGCCAAGCTAAAAACATGCTACGGTAATTTTTATTTTGGCTCTGATATATGATTAAGAGTTTTTATAGAAACTACTCTGATTTTACTGTGCATCTCATGTCCTAATGAACATGTGATATTTGGCCAGATCTAAAGTGAAGAAATCTAAACTCAATAAATATTTCTGGGGTAAAAGTATATTAAATATTACCAGAAAAATGTATTGAAACATGTTATCTCTTTACATATATGTATTTATGTACTGAACTCTTCCCAGTCCTTTACTGGAAAACTCTTGTACATACTTTCTGCCCCCCTCCCTACTATCCACTGTCCCTTTAATACTGTACCACCTCCATGAAATTCATGGGCATTGTATTTGATGTGCTAAGTAGAATATTGTTTTGTTATGGCCATTGATGTTGGTGCCATTGTTTGCTTCTGTGGCCCAATGATTTTTGTGCCTCAAGAGCGGAAGAAGTTTGTCTCTTGGTCTTTGTATATTATGCATCAGAGTATTGGCTGCTGTTGGGTATTTATTCTTTTTGCCTAATTCAATTACATTTCTTTCTCTCCCTGATTGTTAGACTGTATTTCTCCAGTTTGGTTTTGCTACAGGTAGTCCTCGAGTTACAAGAGTTTGTTTAATGACAGTTCAAAGTGATGACAGCCTTGGAAAAATTGATTTATAACCTGTACTTGCACTTTGTCATTGCACCACTCCCACAGATACATGAATGCAATTCAGGCACTTGGCAACTGAATATTTATTATTGGTTGCACATCTTGCAATCATGTGATCATGGTTTTAACGTTTCTTTGCTAATTTCTGGCAAAAAATAGCCATTGGGGATGTCGGATTCAGTTAACAACTGCGAGATTCATTTAACCATAGTAATTAGTGATTAACTTAATGACCAAATTGTCATAAAATCAGGTCCAACTCAACTTAAAACTGCAATGATTTACAATGGTAATTGTGGTTGTAAGTTAAGGACTGCCTTCTCATTAAGCAGTACTTGCTCATTGTTTCTTCTGAGCTTAACTGCTGTAGTTTTCCTGTCTGTTGATATGAAAATATATTATATCTAGGATATAAAATAATTGTAAAGTTGTGGAATTACAAGTAGCTCTCAATTTCAACCACAATTGAGTTCAAAATTTCCATTGCTAAGTAAGATACTTAAATGAGTTTTGCCCCATTTTACAACCTTTCTGGCAACAGTTGTTAAATGAATCAGCTTCCTTATAGACTTCGCTTGTCAGAAGGTTGTAAAAGGTGATCCCATGACTCTGCGACACTGCAACCATCATAAATACATGCCAGTTGTCTAACATCCAAATTTTGATTACATGACCACACGGATGCTCCAATGGTTGTGTAAAAAACAGTCATAAGCTGCTTTTTTCAGTGTCATTGTAACTTTGAATGGTCACTGAAATGACCATGGTTATAAGTCAAGGACTATTTCTATATACTGCCCTTATTATTAAAGTACACAATTGTATGATTCAATGGGCAATGAACTTTGGATATAATGTAAAGCTTGAACAGTGGGAGAATATGTGGACGAAAGGTTTCAAATTTACATTAAATTACAATTTAAAAGAAAAAAATTATAAGATGATGTATCTTTAACATCAGATAAGTTGTCAAGAATGTACAAAGCATTTCAAATGAACCCTTTCCCCACTCCTATTTTCCTATTTGCTTTTGTATTTTATATTATAAACTAATAAAAAGGATAATATTAAAAAAATAAATGTGCCTTTTCCCAAGATTTTGCTGTAGAATGAATGTGATCACAGAAATAGACTCAAATGCTTTAAGGACTTTTAAGAAAAGATTGGACAGCCATTTGTATGGAATTGTGTAGGATCTTCTGCTTGAACAGGGGGTTGAACTAGAAGACCTTCAAGGACCCTTCCAACTCTTATTATTCAGTTATTCTGTTAGATTTAGCTGATTGCCAGTTATCAGGAAAATTGCACTTAACTGTATTTAATATTCCAGTGAACCTTTTATCACCACTGTGTAATAGAGTTTTAAAAACTGTACTTTTAATAAAATCTTTCTGTCACATATAAAGGAAATATCCAGAATCAAATGCCTGAACATAAAGCTTGTTTGTTTTTTTTATTTAAGACATAGCTTGAAAATTCTGAATAGATGTACTAGTTTAAGTGTGGTTTGTATACAGATTGTCCTCAACTTACAACCATTCATTTAATGACCATTCAAAGTTACAACCGTGCTGAAAAGAGTGACTTATGACTGGTCCTTGTACTTATGACGGTCACAGAAGCCCCATGGTCACATGATCAAAATTTGGGCAGTTATTATTATTATAATTTTATTATTATTATTATTATTATTATTATTATTATTATTATTATTATTATTATTATTATTATTATATTATTATTATTATAATTTAATTTATATACCGCCCTTCTCCCGCAGGACTCAGGGCGGTGCACAGCATATTAAAAACAGTACAAATACAAAACATAAAAAATACAAACCCCTGTAAAACCAGATTAAAAAACCGAATATTAGAAGCTGTGTTTCTATTTAAAATTATTTTTAAAATCACCCTAAATAAAATCCTCCCTNCCCACTCCTAACCCACCGAGACGCCGCAGCATGATACCGTGGTCTACAGTATCAAAAGCCGCTGAGAGGTCCAAAAGAACAAGGACAGAGGAGTAACCTCTGTCCCGGGCCCTCCAGAGATCGTTAACCAACGCGACCAATGCCGTTTCCGTGCTGTGTCCCGGCCTGAAGCCCGACTGGTATGGGTCTAGATAGACTTGTATTTACAGTGATTGCAGCATCCGAGGATCACATTATTACCATTTGTGACCTTCCTAGCCAACTTCCAAAAAACAGAGTCAATGGAGGATGTCAGATCTGCTTAACAACTGCATGATTCACTTAAAAAACTGCAGTGTTTTGCTTAACTGTGGCAAAAAGAGATTATAAAATTGGGAGCGACTCACTTAACAACTGGCTCGCTTAGCAACAGATGTTCCAGTCCCAATTGTGGTTGTAAGTCAAAGGCAATTTTGTAAGATGGCAATTTTCTTACAGTGGTGAAATGACTTGTTTTCAACTAAAAGGTTTCAAGAAGAATTATTTTAAAGTAAAATATTAAATGTAGTTGTTTTTAGTAAAATATGCATAAAATATTAATGGTTCATTAATTACATTTGTATATCTTATGTTTAGGAAGTGGCAGTCTTTGTATTTGATAAAAAACTTATGGATAAATATCAGAAATTTGAGAAGGATCAAATTATTGATTGCTTAAAACGTGGAGTTCAGCAGTTGACAAGACTTCGACATCCTCGGCTGCTAACTGTGCAGCATCCACTAGAAGAATCCCGGTAAAAATTTCTGATGCTAAAGTAGTAATAGATTCAGTGTAAAAGCTAAAAGTCAAAACAGTCTGATAATTGGATTGTGATGAATTTTGAAAATTGACAGTGCAGTATAGAATACTGAATTGTAAAAAACTGGATTCTTTTTCAAATACTTACATAGATTTCTAAATAAAGCAAGGGTTTACAATTTATATCCATATTCTAAATACTTTTCAAATATTTTATACCCTGGGTATAATGGGTGATGAAATATATGCATTTAATTCAGTTTGCATTCTGTGAATATAAGAGAGTCTTATAACGAAAAATCAAAGGGACCTATTTAAAATATTCAAAAATTTCATTTCATTTTGTTCTTTTCCCAGTGATTCTGAGAAGCTTTAAAGGATTTTAACTGGTGTTGATTCTTACAAAATAATGTTGATTTATGTAGTTGGAGTTTTGATACTTGCTGTTAAGATTCCAAATTGAAATATATTTACTTATCATAATGTCTTATGCATTTTCCAGATGCCAGTGTGCTACACAACCTACAAACTACCTGCATTAGTATACCTATCTCTTTTTTTAAATTTAACATTTGAAGTGTTTAGTAAAATTATCCTTGTTTTCTTTTAGAGATTGTCTAGCATTTTGTACAGAACCAGTTAGTGCAAGTTTGGCTAATATACTGGGTAACTGGGAGAATCTTCCTTCACCCTTACCATCTAACATTAAAGAATATAACTTGTATGATGTGGAAACGAAATATGGCTTACTTCAGGTATATGTTGACTTATAACTTACATCGATATAGTACCTCAATGTATCATAATTGTAATCCAGTCAAAATTGTATATGTGTTTCTCTGTGTGTGTGTTTATAAATGAGCAGATATATGAATACCTTAATGTATTCATATGTAAATGAGGTATTTAGTCCACATTATTTTCTTTCTACAGAAAGAAAACAATAAAAGTACTGTTTACAATAAAAAATATAATAAATTCGTATACCAATTCCTTCCATGTTGTAAAATAATCTGCAAGGGAATACACACATTTTAGATAATTAAAAACTTCAAAGTCCTCAGCTGCTTTCATTTCTTAAAAGATTTTTGGGAAGTCTTCAGGAGATTATCTTATTCGGATAGTTTGATCATTTGTATCATACTCTGTGTTTTAGAATAATAGTTCTTGTGTAAATTGTGCAAACATTTCTCATGAATAAGAAGGGCTTAAAGAGCTAATTACAGTTGATTGGATGAGCAAGTATGACTTGGTTACATTGTGTGTATTGAGATAGCAAAAAACAAACATAACCCATCATAAGTAAGTCTCAGAAAACTGGAGAAAAAGACATTATCACAAGAATATAAATTGTCCTTCCCAACAGGTTTCAGAAGGCTTGTCATTTCTACACAGCAGTGTGAAAATGATTCATGGCAACCTTACTCCTGAAAACATAATTTTGAATAAAAGTGGTGCATGGAAAATTATGGGATTTGACTTCTGCATTCAATCTATAAATCCATCTGAGCAAGAGGTAGTAGATTGTTTAATTTGCTATTTTTCTTAAATGAAGCCCAGCTGAAAATACTAAAAGTCTAATATTTAGCTGATTTAAAAGTTTACAATGAGTCAATACATGATAGTTCCTTCACTTTACCAGATAGACAAACACCTTGACATTGTACCATAGATGAAAATTTTGTATAAGATTTGTGATTTGTACTTTTTAGTATAAATTAAGATTTTATGATTTTTGAGGAGGTTATGGAGGCTATTTATTTATTTATTTATTTATTATTTGCTTGCTTGCTTGCTTACTTACTTACTTACTAACTTACTATAAGCAAGTTCTCCCAACACAGAAATGGCCAAAATTGATGTACAAGACAAACCTGTGCAGAAGCCCCACTGGCCATGGGTACCATCTGTTCCTGAAGCAGGACCTCAGAGTCCAGGAGGATTCCCAAATACACTCTCATACAGAATTAAAGATGGAAAATCCCCAGAGTAAGGGGGCCTTAAAATCCATAGCAACTTAGTCTTGCCATGGTTGAGTTGAAGTTTATTCTCCCTCATCTATTAGGTATCTAGCAATCCTAAAATGAAGTAGGATGGTATATTTATGTATGTTATATATTCTTATGAAGATAAGTTTTGCTTTTTTCACTTAATATTAAAAATGTGTGTCAAAAAAATTAAATTTCAATTGAAATGAGCACGTGTTTGTTAAAAATGTAGGTCTAAATAGTTAAGGTAGAACTTTTGAATATTAATATTACTTGGCTAAAGTAAATTTAACGTTTCAAAATATATGACTTCACTACACTTTTTATTGCAGCCAAAATTCTCTTCTAAAGAATGGGACCCAAATTTACCATCTTTGTGTCTTCCAAATCCTCAGTATTTGGCACCAGAATACATCCTTTCAGTAAGCTGTGAAACAGCTAGTGACATGTATTCTCTAGGGGCAATTATATATGCTATATTTAATAATGGAAAGCCAATTTTTGAGGTCAGCAAGCAAGATATATATAAAAGCTTCAGCAGACAGCTGGATCAGGTACATTTACATCTATTAATATGTATTTTCAAATACACGTTCTCAACTTAAGACCAGTTGCTTAGCAACCTTTTGAAGTTACAACAGACTCCCCAAAAGTTACTTTTAACCTGGTTTCAAAGTTACAATGGCTGCAGCACCCTGCAGTCATTTGCCCTTATGGCTGACTGAAGATCCCTTCAGTGCAGTGTTCATCCACCCACCCATCCCTCCCTGCTGGATCCCTGCAGCCACTCATCCACCCAAGGGAAATCATGCTGGTTATAGTGGATGCAAATTAGCTGGAACTTGCAAGCCACCAGTTGCCTTCTCATCCAGCAAGCAAGGGGAGATCAGCGTCTTCCTTCCCACCCAAGGACTTTCAGGACTCGGCCTGCTTCACAGCCCAGCAACACTCAACTTACCTTTCTGGTTTTTTTTGCAGCTTCTGAGATAGATACCCAGCCCAATACAGGATCAGCTTTCTTACAGACGTAGCCTCATGGCAAAGCAGTTGTTATTCTAGCAAATCTATAGGGAGTTCCCTTTTTAAGGAGGCTCCATAAACTCCACAAATAGAGTCTCCTTAAAAAGTAGACCTTCCTTAAAACAAAAGTCTATAGTATTGTGAGAAAAGAACCTGTTGCAAAATAGTATGAATTTGCCACAAGCCTGGGGCTGTAAGAAACTGATTCTGTATTGGGCCAAGTGTCTCTTTCTGAAGATGCAAAAAACAAAAAGTCAAGTTGAGCGCTGCTGGGCCTTGGAGCAAGCAGAGTCCTGCATGTCCTTGGGTGGGATCTCCCATTGTTCAATTGCAAGCTCTGGATGAACTGATCTCCCCTTGCATGTTGGAGATTGCAAACTCTATCCAGCCTAATCTCCTCTTGCTTGCTGGATGGGAAGGCAACTGGAGGCTTGCAAGTTCTAGCTGTTTACTGGGTGGGAAGGATGCTGAAGAACTGTGGGGACCCCACGGGGTGAGAAGCAGAACATGGGGTGCCTCGGGGGTATGGGTAGCCTTGGGAGGCCCGGGGCAACTGACCCTGGGCCTGCATAAGCCTTCCAGAACCTTCCCCACCTCTGAGGCATCATGTGCTCCATTTAACAATCTTCAGGTTTGCCTAACAGCTGCATCAGGGAGACAAAGGAGTGGGATCATTAAGTGAGGCCATTTTGCTTAATGGTCACTGTGACATGCAACCGTAATGGGCAGGGTCCATTATGGTTATATCTCAAGGACTATATGTATTGATTTATAATGGCTGGTTTCAAATATTAGACTTGATGTGTGAGCATGAAAATGTATATTGTACATGATGAAATTCTAAACCATAAAGATTTTTATATAATAAACACACTACAGGCAGGATTTTTTGTTGTTGTTAATGATGTATGACGTGTTCTGTACAGCTTAGTCGGTTGAATTCCAGTAATCTTCAGAACATCCCAGAAGATGTCCGTGAACATGTGAAATTGTTGTTAAATGTCACTCCTGCAGTCAGACCAGATGCAGACCAAATGACTAAAGTGAGTAAATAGAAATAATGGCAGAACATAAGGCAGTCTTCAATTGTTATAACCAAAAATGAACATAGAGTTTTAAAATGTTTTGTGAAAATACCCTGGTTTACGGGAATTTGGAATATAAGAGATTAAATTTCTCTTATTAGCAGAGCCAGTGCTCAGTAATTCCCTGGAATTGTTTTCGGGCAGAATACAGGTAGTCCTCGAGTTACAAGTGTAATGAAGCCTGCCCATTCCACTCGTAACTTGAAAACTCGTAGAGTGAATCTCGTTCCTTTAGCAAGATCACTCTCTTGCTCGTTAAAATGCATGCACCTCGTTAAGTAAACATGAGGTATCTCAGGGTGGGGAAGATCATGGTGGGCCTAGTGATGGAACAGGCCCCCAAGGCCTCCCTGACCCACTAAGATACCTCATGCTTCCCCCTTCCTTCCTGCCGCGCGGGACTTACCTGGAAATGGTCTGTCTCCTCTCTGCCACGGTTCCTGCTGCCGCTCCGATCTGAGGCCAGGGGATGTGTCCACAGCCCCCCGCAGCCCGGAATGCGGATCGGGCTGCGGAGGGGCCGCAAAATCACTCTGACACCATGGATCTGGTCTCCGGGGGCTTGGAAAAGGCCTCCGGAGCCCGGATCAGGCTGCAGAGGGCTGGAAAATTGCTCCGCAACCATGGATCCGGGCTCCAGAGTCTTGGAAAAGGCCTCCAGAGCCTGGATCGGGCTGCGAAGGGCCGCAAAATTGGTCTGCGACCATGTATCCGGGCTCCGGAAGCTTGGAAAAGGCCTCCAGAGCCCAGATCGGCCCGCGGAGGGGGCGCAAAATTACTCCACGGCCATGGATCCGGTATCCAGAGGCTTGGAAAAGGCCTCTGGAGCCTGGATTGGGCCATGGGGGGCTGCAAAATCGCTCCGCAGCCATTGATCTAGGCTCTGGAGGTCTTTCTCAGGCCTCTGGAGCCTGGATCGGCTGCGTGGGGCATGAAATTGCACTGCAGCCATAGATCCCGGCAGCAGAGGCCTTTTCCAGGCCTCCAGAGCCCAGATTGCCTGCGGGGGGGGACAAAATCATTCTGCAGCTATAGATCAGGGCAGCAGAGGCCTTTTCCAGGCCTCCAGAGCCCAGATCGGGCTGCGCCCCCCCCCCCCGTAAAATCACTCTGTGGCCATGGATCCAGTCTCCGGAGACTTGGAAAAGGCCTCCGGAGCCCGGATCGGGCCACAGGGGACTGCAAAATCACTCCGCAGCCATTATTCTGGACTCTGGAGGTCTTTCCCAGGCCTCCGGAAGCTGGATCGGCTGCGTGGGGCGCGAAATTGCACTGCAGCCATAGATCCCGGCAGCAGAGGCCTTTTTCAGGCCTCCGGAGCCTGGATCACCTGCGGGGGGGGGGGGCACAAAATCGCTCTGCAGCCATAGATCCGGGCAACAGAGGCCTTTTCTAGGCCTCCGGAGCCCGGATCAGCCAGGGGGGCCGTGAAATTACTCTGCAGCCATAGATCCGGGCAGCAGAGGCCTTTTCCAGACCTCTGGAGCCCCAATCCAGCTTCCAGAGGCACATCGAAGCGTCCCCCAGCTTCGGTTTGGTTCTCTGTTGCAGAGAACAGAAGCCTAAAGTACCATGAGATCACGCAAGATCAGTAGTGTGAGATCTCGCTCCACTGATCTCGTGTCATCTTGCCGTTATTTTAGGCCTCCATTCTCTGCAAACACACCAAAGGCCTGGAGCAGCCAAGAAAGCGAAGATTCTCCATCTTCGCAGGGTGAGTACTGAAGGCCTAGTGCCTAGGGAGACCCACAGCAGGGGAGGGGAGGGAGGAAATAACCTGGGTGAGTGTTGCAGAGCCACTGCGGCAGCTCGTAAGGACGAACGACTGCTGTGGTGCTGCAATACTCGTAATTTCGGGAGTTGCTCGTAAGGATTAGGGGGCGCTCATCACGTAACTTTGAACGAGCATTAAGTGAACACTCGTAACTCGGGGATTACCTGTATCTTTTTAGAGACTATCATGTAGTTGTCTAGAAAATAGGTGATACTTATGAAACTATAGCAGGAAAAATGATTTTTACCTTTATTTTTAAATTTTATTTTTATTTCATCTATTTATTATTAAATTGTATACTGCCCAACTCCCAGACACTCAAGACAATTCATAAAATAACCTATTAACCTTAATTAGAATTAAATGCTATTGCACTTTTGATAAGCCAAATATATAACATTTATCATCTAAATAATCCTTTCTTATCTTTTTTTAGATACCATTCTTCAGTGATGTTGGGGCCATGACGTTACAGTACTTTGATTCTTTATTCCAAAGGGATAATCTTCAAAAATCACAGTTTTTCAAAGGGCTGCCAAAAGTTTTACCAAAACTACCTAAGGTTAGTAACTTCAAAATATATTAATAAATGCCTGAGGAATACTGTATATTGTAGATGAAATGTGCATTCTCTGTAATAACTTTATTTTAGGACTGATAAATATTTCTGATTTCATATGTTTTAAAAAAGAGTTATAGGATGCACCAAATATAAAGTTATTTTTTAACAATGCTGTATTTTTATTTATAATATTTATATAAATCTTATATCTTTGAAAAGTAAAGTATCTATTTTCTTTCAGCGTGTTATAGTGCAAAGAATTTTGCCTTGCTTAACATCTGAATTTGTAAATCCAGACATGGTACCTTTTGTTCTGCCTAATGTTCTGCTCATTGCGGAGGAATGTACCAAAGAAGAATACATTAAATTAATTCTACCTGACCTCAGCCCTGTATTTAGACAACAGGAACCAATCCAGGTACATTTGTATCTTAAACATTACTTTTGTTTCCTTTTGATGAACATTTTGTATTTTCCATTAAATATTGACAAAAATATGTGCCTTAAAGTCTGTTTACACTGACATGCTGAAAAGAAAAGATAGAACTGTTGTATCTTTATACAATTATATTCAGTGTGTAAAGTTACGGCCAAAGTTTATTTCAGAATCCTAGATGGAATTCCCTGGAATAGATTTCTGCCAGGTGAGAGATTTAGTTTCTAAGTCTAGTGTATTGCATTTTGTGGATATACTAACTATATTATGCTATGCATTCCAACAGTACGTACTGGTAATTTTGATTTTAAAATTGGTGTTCTTGTTTTCCACGCTTACAGGCTAGCAATATGGTAAGTGAATGTATTTGCTATATTTACATTGACATTTGAATGCAGATTGGTACCAAAAGCTATTCTGATATATTAATCTGATTAACAAAATAAGCTAAAGTATTTTTTTTAAATTTACATTTCATAAACAGATTCTCTTGATATTTCTTCAAAAAATGGATCTACTGCTAACCAAAACACCTCCAGATGAAATAAAGAACAGTGTTCTGCCAATGGTTTATAGAGCCCTAGAAGCACCATCAATTCAAATACAGGTCTGACAACCATATCTTTTGTTCAACTTTGTTACAGCTGAAATGTATTTGGGATCTTTGAAAGATTCTCTTATCCTATCTTTATTTCTTTTATTTGTTTCTATCAGTCTTTAGAATAAGGTTTCACAAAGCAATATGAGGATAAATTTTTAATTTTTGCATTTCTTTAATTTTGGAATATCACTTTTTCTTATAACATTGACTGATTGTTTTTCAGGTCAAAAGGAAGGATGAACAAATATTCTTTTCTCTCGAAGTGTGTAAAATGTTTTGAGGTTGAAAAATTCTGATCCTAAATGTATCATTCTTACTTTCAAATGCTCCCTGTTCTAGTTTCACAAAAGCATTCCAAAGTTGGGCATATTGTTCAAACTTTACTAGAAGCGATCTGGTTTAAAAGCAGGCCATTCTGAACATTTACGATTGGAATGGTCCATTTCAGTATCAACTTCATGAAAGGATAGAACTTCTTGTTCCAGTGTAAGGTGATGATTCGGGTAAGGTGAGAGTGATCCAACCTCAAAATGTTTTACATACGTGTGCTTCCCACACTCCATCCTTCATCCTATCTTTGACCTAAATATAAATTTTGTCTTAAAATATTAATCATTCACTGTAAACAGAAATTAAAATCAATGGCTTGAAAATTACTTGTTTTTAAAAATTAATTCTAACCTTATCCATTTTTTATATGATGATTGTGGTATTTTTATTTGCAGGAACTCTGTTTAAATATAATTCCCACATTTGCCAACCTTATAGATTATCCATCAATGAAAAATTCATTGATACCAAGAATTAAAAATGCATGTTTACAAACTTCATCTCTTGCTGTAAGTTTTAATTCAGAGCTCTTTATAATTGTTTGTATTTTGCTGTTTTAGTTTGAACAATATTACTTGATTTCTGACATGTGTGAGGGTTTTTTTGTATTTTTAGCAAAAACTGTTTTGATTATATATAGCTAATATTTGAAGAGTGAAATAGCTTACCAATTACTCTCACCCTTTCATCATTATGCCCCCTGCTTCTAAAATAGTGTCTCTAAAAAAGAAAAAGAATTACATGTCTTAGACCAGTGATGGCGAACCTTTTAGAGACCGAGTGCCCCAAAACTGGCCCGCCCCTGCTCCACCCCCTGCCCCTCCCCCACTCTGCCCCCCCACCCCACCTGCCCACAGGACCACTCACTGCCTCCAGGGCCCGCCACAGATCGCCCAGGCAGCCCAGCAGCGCTATGGCAGCCACACCCTCTGCCCGCGCCCTGCAGCATCAACTGCATGATGGGGTGTGAGGGCAGAGTCTTATCTATGCTGCCTGGCTGCCATGTCCTTGGCTACACTGCTCCGTGTGGGCCAAGCCCGGGGGCGACTCTCCTTCAGGGGGGCTGCTGGAGAGGAGGGGGTCGTGGGGGGAGGCGAGGCTGGAGCAACAGCACGTGTGCCCACAGAGAGGGCCTCAAGTGCCACCTCTGGCACCCGTGCCATAGGTTCGCCACCACTGTCTTAGACTCTCCATACAAAGCAGTCTCAATTGTATAGGATTTCTAATAGCATAGGGACCCTTCACACAATCATATCATTGTATTCCTGAAGTTTTCAATTTCCATTGAATGTTCACATATTGGAATTTGAACTGTAGACTCGTATATCTTTCTGAGAAGAGATTAAGGCTTGATCATAAATTAAACTTTCACATTTATCTTTAATCTAGCCTTATACTTTACTTGATTATTATATTATTAAATTTCCATTCGTTTCTTTCATTTTTCTATTTCATTCATCAGATGCTAAAATACTACTTAAAAGCTTTAAGTGGCTGATATAGATTGTATTTTACTTTCTGATTACTAACATAGTAATTCTAATTCAGTGGATAGGTAGGATATATTAATAGTGAGGATGGACTACCACAGCATATTTCTTCCTACTGGTGTTGGAATTAAATTAGATTAATCTATTCCGGAGGTTGATGGATATCGTTGTACTAGTTGGACATGTTTTGGTGGGTTAGTTGAGACTTGGACATTTCCCAAATGCTTAGTGCACTGGCTTTTTAGCAGGATGGATTTGATTTAAATCAAGTCATTTAAATCACGATTTAAATCACTAGTAAAAAGGCTTGATTTAAATCAACTCGATTTAAATCATAATTTTTAAAGAGCAACTGTCATCTCCTGCAGCGGCTCCTCTGACCCGCTGTTGACTCACCAACAGTCCCATTCATTTTAATGGGCTATATCTGCAGGAAATCATCCAAGGGAATTAAATAAAATTGTTGGGTGACTTGATATTTAGTACTTTTGTCTGCATGAGGACCTGTCTAAACTTTATTATATTTTGTTTCTTAAAAAACAGAAAATTACTTAAATTCATGTAAGTTCTGATGCTACTTTAAGCTGTATCTTAATGTGTCTGCTGATAACATTTGTCTGAATCGGTTTCATAATTAGTCTCTTGAGGAAAGTGGATATTGTTTTTATATTTATTCACACCACTACTTGCATATTAAATCCCTCCCTGACTTGGCTTTTAAAAATTTCCAAAAACTATCCTATCAATGATCATCCAAACTATTAATACTTTGTCCACCAGGCAGAATTTCCCCACTTTAAAAAAGGCTGAGATGAGATCCCTGCTTAATAAATTATATTTGGACTAATTTTAACAACTATCAGCTGATATCTGATGGTATATTTAGGCAAGCTGATTAACAAAACTGCAGTTTTACAGATGCAGCAGTTTTTAAATAAAATTGATTGTTATGATCCATTTCACTTTGGATTTAAATCTAGATTTAGCACAGATGTGTATTTTTGTGAATCATCTAGAGCCATTAGGAATCTGTGCAGTGTATGCATTTTATAAATAAGCATTGATGATGATGATGATGATGGCTGCTGGTTTGATGGCAGATTCCACTTCTCCCCCTTGCTGTCTGCTCGCCACTCAATTTTTGTTATCATATTGATGTATTCTCATTTTTTTCATTATTTATTTTATTGTTCTATTATATTTACTTCTAGTTTGTTTACACTCTTTTCATTTCTTCCTTTTTATTTTTGTAACCTCCTAGAGTAGCCCCACAATAAGATAAATTATCTAATAAATGAATTTACTTACTTCATATTATGTAATAGGTGGGATATTGGACTTTTGGCAATAGCCTCATTTTTAAAAAAAACTGCAGAATTTTTACTATATTTTTCATGCAACAATTTGTTAAAATTATATTGTTTTTGAAGCTTCCCTTGTAAAAATAAGTTTTCACTGCTTCTCTGTACATAAACACTCACCGTTTAAGTCTGGAAAGGAGATATAGGAATGTACATCCCTTGTACACATAGGTTTTAAGTGATTAAATAGCTTGTTTATGAAATTTCATTTTAAATCACCTTTATTCATAAACATTTAGAGGCTTTGTTTATATATTTATTAGGTGCGTGTAAATTCCTTAGTCTGCCTGGGAAAAATTTTGGAATACTTGGATAAGTGGTTTGTTCTTGATGATATTCTGCCTTTTTTGCAACAAATTCCTTCCAAAGAACCTGCAGTCCTTATGGGAATCTTAGGTAATATAACTTTTTATTTTTTGTGTTGTCTACAGTAATTCCTCTGCAGTACTTTGTTGTACTGATTCAAAAACATATGTTTATAATATGGCTCAGAGGTGTATAACTTGTTTAGTTTCCCAATATTTTCTTTTAAGTTCAAACTGTATCAACATATATTAACTACCCAGGAACATATTATTATCTCTAGTCAAAAAAATAATCAACTTCAACATTTTGTTTCCCTATTCCCTCAAACTAAAAGAAATACAAACATAATTATACATTTATAATTGCATGCAACAGTTTAGACAGCCGTGTTCAAATTTAAGTTTCAGTGAATCCCTAAATGAACAGAAGCTAACACCAATCTCTGTCTTGTATAAAGTTAAGCATGAAATCTTGCTGCAAATGTGAATTATAATGTTTATGTGCAATTGTTTACCAATTCAAAGTTATCTGATATCTGTCATCTGTCTCACTTTTAACCTGCATCAGCATAACCAATCTATCCCCCCCCCAACTTTCTGGTTCACCACGATTTAAATCGTACATCAATCAATGCATAAAATCATCTGATGAATTCAGCTAGAAAAGTTTATATCTTAATAAAAAGGTCCTTCTGATTTTTTTGCCACCATTTTTTGCTCTTTCAGTTAGTATTTTGTAATATCTCATTTGGCAAGCAGAAAAGCTTCCAAAATTCCCTCTAGCCAGCTTTCTATTTTTTCCTTCTGGAAGATTTTCCACTCTTTCTTGAAAATGTCTACTGGTTCAGGAAAATCTTCTTATATACAATGGATTATTTCCTGGCAGATTTTCAATAACATTCCAGTCTGGGATTGGGAAGTACATGTCAAAATCTTTGTCTTACTTTTCTGTAAGTTCTTTATGATTGATTTAGAGGTGTATTTCTGATCAGTTTTTTTACTAAAACATCTCTCTGTTATCAGCTTCATTTTTTTCACTGATTATAAAACCCCACATGATTGTAGTCTTTGCTATTCTTCTCTATGAAACTTCTCTATGTTCTGACTCAGAGATATGGCCAAATACTTCAGAATTCAGTTTAGCGATAGTTTAAGAGACTAGTCTCTTGCCCAGAAGAATGAGCAAGTTGGGCTCTAATGTAATTTCTGAGATTGGCAAATTTACAGTGAACTTAAACAATTCAAAGCCCCTGGGATAATCTAATCCTGCTAAATTACTGAATGCCAGCACCAAATGGGAAGTCCCAATTTTAGCAAATCTGTTTAAACACATAGATCTTTGTTATGTAAGCAGTAACTCTAGTCAGCCACTCTAGTATTAGCTGAACATCCCAGTTGTTTTTTAACAGTGATATGTGTGTTCCATTTTCTAGATCTTACCAGTTTGGGAGCAGCTCTAGCAGAGATTTTTCTTGGTCTTCCAGATCTTGTTTTGACTTCAATAACTACATGTAGCTTCTGTTTCTTAATAACACTTCTTGCAATTGAAATGGCTAGCAGAACATGTTTAGAGATTTTTTTTAATAGATTTCCCTTACTTTATACATACATTATCTTCATTCTCAAATGAACAGATAGCTGTCAGATCATGGTTGCTGAAAGTAAATAGGACACTCAACCTGAGAAGTAAAAAGTGTCAGAGTATTTATCTTTACCTAGGTAATTGTAGCCAGTGAGTCATCACCTTTTGGGGCCTTATTAACATCTTATAAAATAATGTGATTAATTTGGAAGTGTGTTCTTATCATATTCACTACATATTATTTGATTCTATAAGCAACTGCACATAAATAATAGATATGCACTCAATTTTCTTTTTAAAAAATAGGTCTTTATATTATGTATCAGCTTCTATTCCTTTGATACATGTAGACTGACTGGGGGTTATCGGAATGTTTGTATGCAACTATATATATCAAGTGCAATGGAAGATTCCATTTAATTGAAACTAGTTTTGTGTTCAGAGTAAAATATAATGACTGCAATTTATTATAACAAAATGAATAGCTAAACCATTAATGTTTTATAACAGGTATTTACAAATGTACATTTAGTCACAAAAAGCTGGGAATTACAAAAGAACAACTTGCAGGAAAGGTGCTCCCACATCTGATTCCTCTTAGCATTGAGAACAATCTTAATCTAAATCAGGTAGGTTGATTAATCATATATTTTCACTATAAAAATGTAACATTGGAGTTAATTCATAAAGAATCCAAACTTGGGTGACAGATGAGATGTTCATTTTAAATTTCACTACGTTGCATTAAAGCTATTTTGAGTGCAATTGTGCAAAAGTCAGGGGAACTGAATTGCTTTTCATTTAATCCCATGATTTCTTTGGTGCAGGAGCAGACTTTCCAATTTTGAGCCTTCTTTAAAGAAAATATCACACTTAGCTTGCACTGGTTGAGTTGTTTCGGTTTTTTGAGATGGTAGTGGTGGAAATTATAAAAATAACTTTCTGTGTAGGTAATATGTATAGTCACTACAATGAAGTACAGTTATGCCAAAGAGACAGCACACCTTGACATCAGTGTTGCCATTATATACCTTACTTGCAAGGTGATTCTGATGCAAGTCTTAAGTTGTAGTGGCTCCATCTTAGACTGGCATTCATTTCTTCCCTCCCCCTGCAAATGCCCATGGATATATTTTGACCTCACTAAGGGAGTATAAATACAATTGTATTTATAGAAAAGAAGGCTGCAAACTGGAAGGGGATTGATAATTTGAATGAAAAGTATATTGCTAGTAAAGAAATCTGGACAATTTCAGAAAAATAGTGTGAGGATTAATAAAACATTCATTTTATTTCTTTATTTCTCTTTGGATCAATTGGCAACAATATTACAGAAAGTATTGTGACCTGATTAGACTTCCAATATTTTCCAAATATGTAAAAGAAAGCTTATAAAGAACATTAAGCATGGGAATAAGGCTGTGCAATATTGCTTTATATCCTCCAAAGTTGTGATCACTGATAAAAATCATCTGTTGTGATCAAGAGACTAGAAATGTTAATCACAAAAAAACAAGCCCTTGCCCCCATCCCTGTCCTCACTTAAATCCTTTTTTTATGGAACGCTTGAAGAGAAATCTATCAGTTTCTGCAGACTTCATTTCCATGTCCTAATATTTAAATCACGAATAAAGTTTCAGAATCTTAAGTGTACTGAACATCTTTTTTATGCCATTATTGAATAATTGCATTAAATTTATTTGCCTGAAGGCTTTTGGAAGAGGCAACTATCTAGGGGAATATTAAAAGAGGTGTTTGAGATCCACACATAAACATAGACTAAGAAAGAAAAACATTGTATACAAATGTGTTTGAATTATTTGGGGAATACATGTAAAAACATTTACATGCATAGATCATGTTAAGTACAGAAAACAAGTGTCTTTTGGTGACAATTTCCCAAGGCAACTTGTTAATTTGTATTATTTTAAGATGGTACTATTTTTAGACCTTAAAAACTGCAGCGTTGTGTACACATATATGCCTGTGTACCCATCACCCTATTCCCTTTCAGGATAAGCAGTGTTTTGCAAAGTGCAGAAAAAGAAGAAATAGTAAAGAAAAGAAATTGGAGGGAGATGATAGTAGAAAAAAAGAAGGAAGTCAAACACTAACTTATACCAACATTTGTGATGACTCTATACTGTTCTGTCCTTGCAAACCATTCTTGTTTTTATGACATCCATTCCTCAATATGTTACTTTTTCTTGAAAATTTTCAGTTCTTTTTGAGATTCTTATCAATTCCATCCAACCATTACTTTGTTTCCTTCCTCTTTTGTTTTGCAATTTGATCCTCATTCTTTCTTCCAGCTTCAGTTCCATATAACAAAGTGGACAGAAGTACAGGCTTATATGCAGAAATGGTAACTTCTTTTATAAACATTCATTCCTTGCAGTATTTTTTTTTCTACCAGCATTTGCATATCCTAATATTTCTCTTTTATCCATTTCTCCATCTTTAAGAAGCATTCTATGCTACATTAATTTTCATACTCATACTCCTTTTTTCACCATATTCAGGTTCTCATCCAACAACATAGCAGCACCTATGTATAAAAATACAGATTCATTTATTTCACTAGTCAACACACCTTTAACATCACTACAGTCCTTATACATTTAATGAAAAATACATGAAAAAGCCCACAAGGCGCGTATTCTTATATTACATATACTTTGCAGTAAGTATATAAATAAAGTCATTGAATTCAGCATGTCTTCTAATTAAGTGTGCATAGGATTGCTGAATGTCACACTGTGTTCCTTGCATAATAATTTTTGATGCCCATTTCAATTTGTTAGATTTCTCTTGGTGCATATTCTATATTAAAAGATTGGTGTTTTCATATTTTTTCATGTTAAATATATTTCTCTTCTAGTTTAATTCCTTTATTTCAGTCATAAAAGAGATGTTAGGTAAATTGGAAGCTGAACACAAGACCAAACTTGAACAAATCCATCTTATGCAGGAACAACAAAAGTAAGTATGTAAAGCATCATGCTGTCACAATGAATTCATTAATATTATCTCTTTGCTTTGTTAGGGAATTTTCTGGTTTTCTTGAGTTTTTCTATCTAAAAAACTAGACAAATTGTATTAATAGTATATACCAGTGGTGGCGAACCTATGGCACGCATGCCAGAGGGGGGCACTCAGACCCCTCTCTGTGGGCACGTGTGCCTCGCTCTTTGGCTAAGTTTTCACAGGAAAAAGCCATTTCTCAAGCCGCTTAGCCAAAACAAGCCTCTGGAGCGGGCACGCTCACTTTGAAGGCTTGTTTTTGCAGGATTGCTCTTAAGAAGAGCTAGGTGTGCTCACTCCGGAGGCTTGTTTTGCCTAGGAAGGGGCTTGAGAAATGGCTTTTTCCTGTGAAAACTTAGCCAAAGAGCTTGCAGTCTCTGCCAGATCTCCGTTGGGATAAAGTCTTTTAGCTCCGATAGAGTGCTTCCAAACACAGCCAATCCCTGTGTTTGGAAGCACTCCATAGGTGCCGAAACATTTTTTATCCCAATGGAGATCTGGCAGAAGGCTACGTTTCTCAAGCGCCCCATTCCAGGCATATGGAGCTTGCAGTCTTTGCCAGATCTTTGCCAAGGCAAGCTCTGTATGCCTGGAATGGGGCGCTTAAGAAACGGAGACTTCTGCCAGATCTCCATTGGGATTAAAAAATGGGGCGCTTGAGAAACGGAGCCTTCTGCCAGATCTTCGTTGCGGTAAAAAAATGTTTCTGTACCTATGGAGCGCTTCCAAATGCCGGGACTGGCTGCATTTGGAAGCTCTCTATAGGAACTAAAAGACTTTATCCCAATGGAGATCTGGCAGAGACTGCAAGCTCTGTATGTCTGGAATGGGGAGCTTGAGAAACGGAGTGCTCCTTTCCGTGCAGTCACAAAGGGTGCTTCAAAATGCAGGGAATCCCTGTGTTTTGAATAGCCCCACCAGAGCACAAACACTCCACAATCAACAATGCCAAACCCTAACCCCCACCACACCCCAAGGCATCCACAATGCCAAATTCTAACCCCCACCCCAGGGCAACCACATTCCTTCACTAACCTCCTTTCCAGCTCCGTTCCGTGTACAGGGCAACAAAAGAAGTTTGTGGGACTAAAAAAAAAAAAGTTCAATCTGACCTTCCAACTTCTCGTGAAAAAAAAAAAAGATCTCGCAAAGTTGGAAGATCTGGTTGAACTTTTTTTTTTAACTGGTAGTCCCACAAGCTTCTTTTTTTGCCCTGAACACAGTTGCGGAGAATAGAACTGGAAAGGAGGTTAGTGAAGGGAGGGCTTTGGGGAAGCGAGGGGAAACGGAGAAGGGTCTGCTCTGGCCTCTGCTGCCTCACTCCGCCAGCATCAGGGCTCGGAGGCTTGTTTTCACCAGGAAAAAGCCATTTCCCAAGCCTCTTCCTGGCAAAAATGGAGCCAAAGTGTGCCTCGTTCTTACTGAGAGCAATCCTGCGAAAACAAAGATGACAAAAGATAGCACAGTTAGTTCTGAAAATGAAATCCTTAAAGTATGGAATTCTCTGCCAAATAATTTTAAGTCAGTGAAAGCACTTGGGATTGCTTTCCTTACTTTGTTTAGATCATCTTATGCTTCTGAGCAGCTGTTTTCAGCTTTGAATTATATCAAATCTAAGACCAGAAACAGACTAACAGATGACCTGAGTGCTGCATGTGTTGCTCTCAAACTTACAAAGTATGAGCCAAGGTTAGACAAATTATCAGCATGCATACAACAGCAAAAATCACATTAATTGTTCAAAAGCATGCCAAATGCAAACTTTTACCTTTCAATAAAAAGTTGTTTGTATCATTGAAAGCTTTGTTACTGTGTTTTTCTTTTAAGATGAAAGATGTTAATGTATGAGTTGTTTTTTCTAAACTAAAAGCTCAATATTCAGGTTAAATTGCTGTGTTGGCACTTTGCAATAAATAAATGGGTTTTGGGTTGCAGTTTGGGCACTTGGTCTCTAAAAGATTCGCCATCACTGGTATATACTAATAAGTTAACTAGTTATTAATATTCTACTGCAAGGAAGTTTATTGTACTTCTCTTAACTTCTTCACAGCCCTATAAAGTTAGCTAACTGCCATTCATCTTCACAGTTGAACAGTTTGGAAAATATTTTCCATATAAGCAGACTGTAAACTTTATCTTCCATCATCTTGGATAGGAATTTAGTATTCTACACCAAACCACACTCAAATAATGACTGGACTAGTACATGTTAAACTGCAATATACATTTAATTTGAGTTCATGAACTGGTATTGATTAGTATTATGTATGAGTTATGCCTTCAGTTCATTGTTAAAGCAAACCATGGGTTAGTATAATGTGTGAATTGAACCAATGATGTGTTTAAATTAAAACTCAGACATCTTGGGCTTGTCTCATAAAATTTGAATACATTATAGGTATGTGTTTTCAATTTATAGTCAATACTGTTATATAGTTAAATGAGAGAAACAGGAGAAATTGGAAGAATCTATATTCTGTTATATGCATTTCATATTTTTAAATGGGGTGACATATTTTTATAGTTTATTAATGCAAGTAACTTAATAGCAATAGTGAAAATATTATTTTTAAGAGATTGTTTTGAGTATAGACATGTGGTATTGGGAGCAAAGGAGGCATTCCGCAGTGCCCCAAAAATTGTTCTGCAGGCAGAGTAAAGATAAAAATAACACAGAGACACACACATACACATGCATAGTTATCTTACTGATGGTAGTGAGAGATGGAGGAGAATTTTAATAGTTTCAGCATGCATGCAAAATAGAAAAGGAAAACTATATCAACTTTGGTGAATTTTTAATTTGTTGTGGCGGACAAGAGCCAAGGAGGGGTTGAATATTGATTTTTTCTACCATATGTGGTTTATTGTATAGTAACCCTGTGTTGTTTTTGTGTTAATTCTATTTTATTACTTTAACCTCTGAATTTATGCTGCTTTGATTTAACCTGTAAATTTGTGATATAGAAGCTGATGTGACCTCTAAATAATAATATAATTACTAACTGTAATTATGTTGAAAAGGAAACTCAAAGCAAATTATTTTTAATTTGTATTGATAACATTTGGAATATATTTCTGTTACTCTTACTGTGTTTTTGAGGTGAAACTATAACATTATAATTACCTTTTTACAGATCTTTGGATATAACTAATCAAATGAAGCCACTTGAAGAATCAAAAGTTAGCAGTTCAGGCAATCAAGTAAGATGTATGTATGTATGTAACACAAGGTCGCAAATGTACATATTATTCCTTCTTCCTCCTGTTTTCCTCACAACAACCCTGTAATGTTGCTTGGGCTGAGAGTGAGTGATTGACACAGTGGCAACCAGCTGGTGCTGTGTTTATTAAATTAATATAATACTGGTTTCAAGTAACTGTTTTAAATATTTTTTATTTTGTTTTAATTCAAACAGGTGGACAAAATGTTAAGCAATCTAGGAACTAGTGGACCTGATTGTAAAGAGAATGGATTAATGACAAATCAAAGAAAGGTAAGTTTTAATAATGAGCAATGGTGTATGTGTGTATACATACATACATACATACATACATACATACATACATGTGTGTACACATACACACATGTATATATACACACATATACACACAAGCACGTATATGGAGTCTGCAATCCAGAGTAGATTTCAATATGATGCATGGGTGAGATAGAATTCTTCATTTTTGGTGTTGTCTTCATAGTTTTAATGCAAACTAATCAGATATAAGATATAATGAGATATGTTATATATATATTTAATGAGATATAAGATAAGGCCAGGAAGACCAAGCAGTTCAATGTTGTAAAGAATATGCATAGAAGAGATATATCTGGTGTTTAATCTTTTTTAATCTACTGAAAACAATTGCAATGAAACCTTCACTTAATGAACTTCCATTTAGATGATTTCAGATACAGCTGACAAAACTGGAGACTTCCCTAAAATTATAGACAAATCCATTGCATCTCAATCTGGACGAGGCAAATAAATTTATTCTAATATTTAAACTTAAGCTTAAATAGCTTAAACTTAAGTTTAAATTGTTACACAAATGACATAGATTGCTGCGAATAATATAATTTACAATTTAGCAGATATTTGGGAGCAATGGAACTTGCCTTAGCCCCACTCCCACCCCCCTTTTTAAACATGGTAACTAAGTGGCAGGCTTTTGATTTTAAAAGATCTATCATCAACCATGGAAGATCACTTGCTTTTCATAAGAGACATCAATTGTGGACCTACCTGAATTATAAAACTCTGGCAACAGAAACCAAAGCCTTTATTAATCTGCTGTTAGATTACTATAAAATGCCCTACATGTGTCCACCTTTGAAAACAACCTGGAACTGGTACAGGTTAAAAACTGCAACTATGCCAGCTAGGATATTAGCAAATGAGAATACTATTTTAATACACTAACAGTTCCCCCAATTATTGCACTTACCAGTAGGTTTTCAAATATGGTTCACCGTGCTGGTTTTTATCTATAAAGCAATAGCAATAACACTTGGACTTAAATAACATTCTGTAGTGCTTTATAGCACTCTCTGAGCGGTTTGCAATATCAGCATATTACCCCCAATCATTTGGATTCTCATTTTATCGACCTCAGAAGGATGGAAGGCTGAGTCAGCTTTGACTCATCAGGCTCGAATTCCAGATTGTGAGCAGGGTTAGCCTGCAATACTGCATTCCAACTACTGAGCCACCAGGGCTCTGTACTTGTCTTAGTCCAGGATACTTTAGGGAGGGCCAATCTGTGTGTGCAGTCAGGGAGAGAAAACTTAGGGGTTGATATATGAGGGAATTCAAGGGGCTATGGTCCAGTACATACTCCTTTCCTGTGGTGGCTCCCATTTTTTGGAATACCTTGTCTTGTGAGGTGTGAGGTGAATGTTGTTGTGTGGCCTGTGTCAACCATCAACAAAAGAATACAATACAATACTTGGCCAAGTGTGATTAGACACACAAGGAATTTGTCTCTGGTGCAGAAGCTCTAAGTGTAGATTCAAAGCAAGAGAGTATACTAATCATCATCATCATAATACCAATAAGGGGGTAGTAAAGAAGATAAGAAAGATAATAGTAATATTACAGCCGTACAACATGGGTAAATATACTTAGACATAAGACAGCATTGTGAAAATTAAGTGTTCAACAGAGTAATGGCAAGAGGGCAAAAACTATCCCTGTGACTAGTTTTTTTGACATGCAGCGGCCTATAAGAGTGTCCTGAGGGGAGGAATTGAAACAGTTTATGTCCAAGATGTGAGGAATCTAGATATTTTCTCAGCTCTTCTTCTGACCCGTGCAATATACACATCTTCTATGGAAGGCAGGCTGGTTGCCGTTGTTCTTTCTGCAATCTTAACTATCCCAAACTAGACAGTTAGAGAAGTACAAATGACAGGCTCAATAATTCCTCAGTAAAACTGTATCAACAGCTCTTGGGACAGTCTGAAATTCCTGAGTTGATGCAGGAAGAACATTCTTTGTTGTCCCTTTTTAATGATGGTTGCGTGTCCATTTCAGATCCTAGGAGATTATAGAGCCCCAAAACTTGAAGGATTCTGCTTCTGATACTGTGCTATCAAAATATAGTAAGAGTTAGTAAAATAGAAGGGCTCCTCCTAAAATCTACTCTCATCTCTACAGTTTTAAGCATGTTCAGCTTCAGGTTGTTCTACCTGCACCACAGGACCAGTTATTCAACCTCCCGTCTATATACAGGCTCATCACCATCTCAAATGAGACCATGACTTTTTTATCTTGTTATAATTCTTCTACTTCTCTTATGCCTACTAAACAGCAAGACACAACACCAATATCCCAAATTTTTAAAAATCAAGCAAATAATGTCCATTTCTAGTAGAGGGCAACCCTTTTTCTGTTTTAATGTCCTTGGCTATCAGCTGACTTGATAATAGATTGGGCAAAGGGATAGACAGCATCCTTTGTCAATGAAATCCCTGGCTCTTTTAATCTTAAACAAGAATGGAAAAGCTCACATTTCAGCTACCATGTGGAAGTTAGATAGAAAACTTTTTGTAGCTGGTATCCTAGTGCAACTGAACTTTCAAAACTTGAAAACAGTGCTTTTTATATTACAGGGAATTGTTCACAATTCTAATAAATTACAATAATATCTGTTAGGCAATAAAAGTAAACTTTGCTATTTTATTTTTAAAAAGACAGATGAGGAAAAAAGGCTGAGTGTGTTTTCTATATATAGAAAAAATGAGATTTGGCTGAGATGCAAACATCAGGTAGATCAGATGGGTGTCTGAAAAATGAGCAGGTATTTGCATTTGAACAAATGTTTCTAACTCTTTTGTTAGTCTTGCTGATTTTGTAAAACTAGTTAGCCGCAGCTAGTTCAGGCTATCCATTAACAAATGTGTTCTTTTGAAGGGGTCACTTACACTTGAAGAAAAGCAGAAGTTAGCAAAGGAACAAGAGCAAGCACAAAAACTGAAAAACCAACAGCCGCTTAAACCCCAGTCTCATGCAATTATTGCACCAGTGAAACAGGTACAGGTGCATTTTCATAAATATATTGGACTGCAAATAAGTGAAAATGGGAAAGTGGTAAAATCTTAGCAGCAATTAAAGAAAGCCAATTCAGCAGCTATGTTTAAACATCTCAGAAAGTGATTTTACCTGATACTGAGATACCGGCAAACACCCCTAAAAGTAGAGATAGATCGTTAAGTATTTCTTTGTTGTCCACCTATTCTTAATGTAAACATTTGGTAAACTGATATTTTCTTAACAAAAGTTCTGAATACTAGCCTTCTTTACAGACAGCATTTACATTCATTTGCAGCTTCCAACAATTATTTGACTGCAATTTATGATGTTTTTGCCAGAAACCAGTCTTTACTTCTTGGTTTTGGCACAAAATGTGCTTGTTTTATGACCCCCATATTCTCCTAAAGACCACTGCAATTGTAAAATTGGGTGAAGACATGTGGTGACTTGCTTTATGACCATCACAACTTACCATTGAAATTGCAGGTTCAATTATAGCCATATGTTAAGAACTATGTCTGGTTTTAAAATAAAATTATTTCATTGGTGTTTATTATTTAACTTGATAATTGATGCTGCTATAAAATGATTTTAATTGTCTTGTATTTTTAGACAAAGGACTTGACTGATACTCTGAGAGATAACATAGCTTCATTGACCACTCAACCCATCAGCAAACCTAAAGTTCCTTCTTCAAGTAGCTTTTCTTCAGTGGGTATTGGAATGGGATTTTCATCATCTGTTGAAAACACTAAGAGAAATGGACTAAATGCTAATATGGGGTTTCAGCCTTCTGGATTTGGCATGGGGATTGGTACCACAAGCCAGAATTTCTTTGGTAATACTGGTGTCACTGGAATGGCTAACATGAATATGTTGCCAACAGCAAACATGCCATCTTATAGCCCTTTGAACACTACATCGCCAGTTGTGCAGCAAAACAGGCCATCTGATATGTCTGCTTTAGATAGCCTATTTGGGACTCAAAAACCCAAAGTTAGTATGAATCAGTTGTCACAACAGAAAACAAACCAATGGCTTAATCAATTTGCACCTCCTCAGGGTACTGCCAATAGTTGTCCTTTGGGAACACAGATGAATGTAATGGGACAAACTGGCTTTGGCTTACAGGGAAATCCTTTCTTTAATCCTCAGAACTTTACACAACCAACAAACAGCGTGATAAACAGCAGCTCAGCTAGCAAGGACTTAAATGACCTCTTTGGATAATAGTTATAATTGTGAGCAAGATGATTAACATTGTTTTATGCCTGTTAAAAAGCTGATTTGGATAAATTTGATATAATGAAATGAACATGAGAAAGAAATATTTCCACAGTGACTAATATATTTCATTTGTCTATCTGTTTACTTTTCTTAAGTAATTACAAGCCTCTGCCCTAAATTTCATTGTTTTTAAATCAGGTTGTATCAATCTGAGCACCCAGAGTAATGATTAATAAATAAAGACTGCATATCTACCAATTTTAGGCATTTACGTGCTGATTGGTCTTGCTAACTTCTACTGATAAACATGGTCAGATAATTTACTACCAGTTGCAAACTGGGTTGTTCCAAGTGCACAAGACCTGAAAATGTGTGCATTAAGTGACTAGGTGGTAATGTGGGATTTCCGCCTTCTGGAGTTGGCATGGAAATTGTTACATAAGCCAGAATTTCTTTAGTACTGCTAGTTTCACTGGAATTACCAACAAATATATCATCCAATAATCCTATAAATACTACATCACCTGTTGTATAGCAGAGGCCAATTGTTATGTTTCCTTTAGATATCCTAATTATTGTATATTTCTACATACAATAAATGATTTATCAGCAATCCAGGGTCCAGCATATGCATCTAAAGTATGTGCTAAACCTTGGCTTTTGAATATTCCTCTGTCTGAATTTGATATATCTAGTTAGAAATAAAGATGACTTGTGGTTGAATGTATTAATGTGGCATTTTCTGGGGAAATATGAGAGCTAAAATTGGTGGACAAAACCACAATTATTTACCCTAAAACATTCTTCCCCAACAGAGAGTGTTTTGAAAATATTTGTAGAATAGAAGTTTTTTACATTGAAAAATACTGCAAACTGAATGCTCTGATTTACCTCTTAATATCTAAATGTCTGCCCAACCAGAGCACTTACATTTTTGGCATAAACTTTAAAAATGTTATCTAAAAGGCTTAGTTAATTTTATCATGCTTATTATATTTGATATCCAACCATTAAAATAGTACAGTTGCATATTAAATGGAACAGATGTCAGTTGAGCAGCAAAGCTGGTAACTTTTCTGGATACTTAAAGTACAAGCAGTACATCTTCATATAAATATTTGTTAGGGAATCAGATTTGATTGCCATTGGCAGAAGCCTTTTTGTTTCTTCAGATTTAAGTAGATGAGCTTTAAATAAGACAATGTTATTTACTGAAATGTGTTTTTTTCTCATTGAGACCCTGTCGGAATATATAGAAGAATAAACTTTTTATATCAATTTGGAGAAAACAATCAACTTGCATCTGAATATAGTTTTTAGTGTAAAAGCTTTCTTTAAGTAAAAGCCAATAGTAAATACTGCTTTATAGAGAAGGGAAGTTTTTCCCCTTTATTTCTTTCCCAGAACATTGGTGATCTATCATACACAATTTTTGGGAATGTAGCAAATTATATTGAGAAGATGTGTAACCTTTTTGTTGGAAAGAAAGCTAACACTTTATTTTCAGTATCTTTCATTGTTTAAACTGTTTCCATTTGCTGCTTAAGAAACCAAAGGTGCTTATGCTGTGAATGTGAATTGTATTTTCTTAAATTATATCTCAATTATAAACAGTAATGGTGTTAAATATATCTTAAGGATTTACTTTATTTTTCTGCCTTAGTACTTTTATTTTATATCTTTGGACCAGTGATAATATTATTTATCATAAAAAATCACTTGTGCAATTTATGTACTGTCAATATTTTGTTGAAGTATGTTTAATTAGCCACATGTGTAAAAATTATGAATGCTAAATATGCTGTATATGCAGTTCTTTGTATAGTTCAAGGTTTCTTTAAATTTCTTATTTATGGTCTAGAAGGATTTCCCAAATATTAAACATTTTTTTAAAAAGAAAAATAAATATATTGAAGATACAAGTTTGCTATAATATATGAAAAATGTTTACAAAAATGTAAAATACTAGTATATCTTTACAATGCTGTTTGTTAAAAATTCAGCTTTTATAATGTATTTGAATTTCTTAAGATAGCTATAGAAAATGTTTCCTTTAGCTCCACCTCACTAATAAAAACTTGCATTCCAATATAATATCACTGGAAGTAGCAGAGCTTTGATAGTAACTAATGATATGAGTGTTTTACTGTTCTTTCATACAGTGGAAATTTCATTTGATGTAAGGCTATACATGGAAGTTAACCTATAATGGGGAGGGATCCTTCATGCCTCAGTGGTGTAAAAGTTCTTGAAGCATTTTTATACATGGCCAATATCATAATTGTATAACCAAATATTTTACCTAACTTTCATAAGACACAAAAAAGAAATAAGGCATATGAACAGTTCACTAACAGTATACTATAACTCTTTAATAAAGATTACTTGTTTCCAAAATAGTAAACAACCTGAATTTCAAAGAAAACAGTTCACTGATTTGCTGGAAAAAAAAAATTGTTCAGTCTCTTCTATGAGGTGTACATTTAAAACTAATTTAGATACAGTGAGCCTGGATATATTATGGGGCTTATTTAAAGATATTTTGGCCTGTGAATAGATGCAGCTGCCTTTATAGCAGATTACTTTTTTCTTTTACAGTGAGCCAAGCAAATGAACTACCATCTTAAGAGGATGCTTGGATTATATCTGTGATATTATGTTGTCAACCTTTAATATTAACACAAGCATGGAATTTAAAAAGATATTTAAAGTCGAGAAGCATTTTTCTTCAGGATATATTTCATGATTTCTCCTTTTTAAAAAATGATTTCATTAATCACAATAAAAAAAATTTATTTCACCTCAATTTTTTTAGAATACCAAAAACATGCTTTTAAAAATGTATTCAGAAGTTTGGATGGTTAAGAAAAATATTTTTAGATAACACCAACTTTAACTCTGATCTCATTAAGAAGAATAAAGTTCTATCTACTGACATGAGCTAAAATTTATGAATAAAATAGGCCACTGAGCCACATCCATAAGAAAGAGCTTGGGGACAAAGGTCTGCCTAGTTACAGTGCAGGTGAAATGTGTATGAAAGGAAAGAAATTGTCTTTTCTCTACCAAATAAGAGGACCAGTTTTCATGGATGCTGACCTCACTCAGAAAAGTTAGAGTAGCAAAATTTAAGAAATATTAGATAAATATTTAAGTAGATGTTTCCATTCTCATGTTTTTCTGAATTTAAAATTATAAAATGCTAATTTTTCTTCCTTCTGCAGCAATTCTTCATTTTATGTTTTAAACAGAAGGTGTAACTATGGTTTTGTTGAGTTGGATAAACAAACTTCTTTTAAAGTACATCCAATATTTTGGTCTTACTATAGTGAAATAAATCTGGCAAATAACATATATACTTTAATAAAGGCTTCTGATATTTGATTTGTGTACAGTGATGTGTGACAACAGGCTTATAGTTGTCCATAGGTATGATCCATATAACAAATTATTGATTATACCTGTTCATGTCATGGCTATATCGGTTTAGGCAAAAGGCAAATACATTATTTTAAATAAAATAATACTCTAATGGCATATCTCCAATCTGACCTCGTGAATATTTTCTAAATATTGATGAGCTTGTGCAGCACATGATTTTAAAAAATAATTTTTAAAACACATAGCAATCCTACAAAAATTAAGCTTTTGTTTATGAACTCAGGCCTGATTATTTGATTGTTAATTGTTCAGTCTTTAAGCATTAATTTCTATGTTTAAAATTATACAGCACTCAAATTCTTATGTGTAAAGTGATATTCTAGTGTTGTGGTTTGTATAGGATAAATATTTGGAACATGAAATTCTATTTTGATTTATTGGACTTTTGCTGTTTTTTGAAACAAATACATTGATATCAATTTTTAAAATTGTTAACGCTTAAAATATGTAAAATGTACAGTCATGGTTATAAGAAATTCCTACTATTTTGTACTGTGAATGAATAATTGTAGTTTTCAAATAGTCAATGATACTGTTACTGGAATAAAGGTTTTGTGTTTTTTCATATATTCGGTTTTTCAAATGAGAATGGATCATATTTAGATGGAAAATAAAGGTTTTTCTCAATTAGCTATGAATAAGTTCTAATTGAAAAGAACATTTAAACTTTACTAGTAAATTAAATTAGTAAGTAGAAAAATCTTATTTAGTAGCCGGCTGTTTGTGATGCCAACTAATTTTAAAATTATGCCTCCATAAAGTAAAGAAAATAAAATTATATTATGAGAATGAGTACCTTGCAATGTTTCTCAATCTTAGCAACTTTAAGATGTTCAACTCCATACATCTTCAAGCTGCCAAGTTTGAGAAACACTGACCTAGATAAATATCATTTTAAAAAATATGAACATATTGGTAGAAAATGAACTTTTGCCCAACTCTATTTACAGGGATGTTGAGGAAAAACAGGAGGAGGAAGCATTATGTGTACCACCTTGAGTCATGCAAAATAAGGGCAGGATATAAATCAAATAATTAATTCCTAAGAATTTTGTTGTATCAGGCCAGCGATTCTTTCATAATTTCTACAGTTTAACTGTTATGGAAAAAATTGGAGGAGGAAGGGGTATTGTATATGTTTGCTGCATTGGGTTACTTATAAAGTAATAAAGTTGGAATAAAATGTAATTATGACAACTTGACTAAATGTATTGGTATTCCTCTTTCCCCCACGGAATCCCAATTTGCCAAGAAAAAAAAATCTGACATATTCTATATTCCATACAGCAAATACTTACCATTTTCATTTCATTGGTGTATGACTCCATTCAAGTCATACATCAAAAGCAAAGTGCCTGCTCTGTGATCTATGGATCAAAGAATGGTGGATACCATTTACTTGTGTTAGTTTCAACTTATTTAAAGGCAAATTGAAATTCTTTGGGGGGGGGAATGGAGAGGTACCAATACAGGTAGTTCTTGACCCATGACCACAATTGAGCCCAAAATTTCTGTTGCTAAGCAAGACAGCTGCTAAGTGAATTTTATTCCACTTTATGACTTTTCTTGCCATAGTTGTTAAGTGAATCACTGTAGTTGTTAAGTTAGTAACACGATTGTTAAATGACTCTGGCTTCCCCATTGAGTTTGCTTGTCAGAAGTGTCAAAAGGTGATCACATGATCCTGGGACACTGCAATCAAGTCACTTTTTTCAGTGCCATTGTAATTTTAAGCAGTCACTAAACGAACTGTTATAAGTTGAGGACTATCTGTACTTTGGTTGCATCTGTATATAATAAGAGTCACTGATCTTCGCTGTATATAACTAATGAGATTCACTGTACTTCTTTCAGGATCAGCCAAGATTCATTCTTCAATGATTTCATGCATAGAGTTTTGTGGTTGTTACCCTGCTTAAAATAATCTGGCAGAAAATAAATTCTATTATGTTGTCAATGTCAGTTTTTAGAAAAACTGATTTCAATGTTCTAAATTTAGAATAAGTGTTTGTTTTAAATTAAAACTTTCAAACATTACCTAAATATATGCTTAATCAAGTTATTTAAACATTATAAAAAGATGATGCATATTTAAAGCGGATGTGAACAATATCAGCTCAACCAGTTAGATTTATCAGGGTGACACTGCTGAAAATCCTGCCCTTGGGTGGGTTGAAGGTCTGAGGCAAGATGTAATACTACTACTACATATATGCAACATAATAAAGTAATGTATTCTTATACAGGCACAGAATCAGTGGTGCAGTTAAATTAATGGACTAGGAATAGGAGATTCAGATTCTACTTCACCCTCTGCCATAGAAGCTTACTACATGATTTTGAGATAGAGATACTGATAGATCAGAGAGCAAGCAAGAGGGAAAGAGGGAGAAGGAGAAAGAGATGGTAGACAGATAGATGGATGGATTCCTTTAAGCTTCTGTACATAAAAGGTGGCTATAAATTGAATAAACACATGCTGTATATATTCCATATATTGTATTACAGATCTACATTTATTAAATATATACCACAGCCCATCTCACTGCTTCAACTTTAGGTGATTTACAAAATTAAAAACCAAGAAGCAATACAAAGACAACCACATACAGAGAAACGAACATACAAAAAGCCTTACCCAATCCCCCCTTTCAAACAGAAAAGAAAAAACTAATAAACCCTTAAAATTATCATCTACAGTATATATTTTTCTTGACAGATGCAATAAAATAATGTTTATTACGGAACAATAATTGTTTGTGCAAGACGAACAAATATCAGAATATACCTCGCATTTGGGTAGCCTTAGTGTAGCAGTCTCTAGAGGCTGCAAATTAAAAAAAATCCAGAAGGTGGTATTATTGATCCAAGGGCTGAGTGACACTAATGCAAAACGATGCAAGTTTTAGAGACTATTGGAATAATTGTCTAGGACACCACTGATGCTGCATAAGTTGTCTCTGATATCAGCAGTGTCAAAGAAAGTAAATTTAGCAGCATCATTTATATTGAGGACAACGGTTGAAATCTGAAATTGTTTTTGTTGTCATGTGATGTGTTAAAGTGAAAGCATTTGTACCACAAGAAAGCAGACATTACTAGGTTAATACTGTTTTTTCCAAAATATAAAATAACATTAGTTGAGCTTTGGCTTTTTAAAAATTCTAAGTTCATTTAAAAATATATTGGTGGTTTCAGAAATAGCTTTTGCTTAAAGTAAAATAAGGAATGTAACAGAATCCACAGAAACCCTGGTTTGTATAGAGAGTATGAATTTGTGTTGAAGAACTAAAATAAGAGCTATCTATATGTTATATAGAAACAAATAACAAACCAGCTTTCCTCAAGACAAAATTTTTCATTATTTTTTATTATGGTTGATCGCACACTCAGATGTTTAGACTGGATTTGGCATTTTTATCCACTTATCAAGTCCTTCCCATGGACCTATGATAGGCAGAAATTGTTTAATGATATTAAAGGTATTGCTGCATATATAAGCTATTCCAAGTAAAGCTAGCTTTGTGATAGACCGATGGTGATTTTCTCAATGCCAATGGTGTTCAAGTGGTACTCCAGATGTTTTGGACTGGCACCCACGACAACTATTAGCATTGGTACTATATTTACTTTTTATTGCCATAGTCGTTCTACTTCTCTTTGCAGGTCTTTGTATTTTGTGATTTTCTCCAGTTCTTTCTCTTCTATTTTTCTATCACCAGGTACTGCAATGCCCACTATCCACAATTTTTGTCTTTCTTATTGACAATTGTTAAGTCTGGGGTGTTATCTCACAGGTACTTGTTTGTTTGAATAATATTCTTATTCTCATAGTTTTACCCAGATAGAGGGGGAATGATATATTGGTCAACTCAAGGCAACAAATATACCTAATGTTCCTGCCTCCTATTTTCCCCATAGCAACAACTCTATAACACCCATAGAATAGTCCAGACTGGGAAAAGATAATCCTCATTTAGCAATCTCAATTGGGACAGGCAACTAGGTCATTAAGCGAGCAGGCTGCAACTATGCTTACAATTTTATACAGGACAATGCATATTGTAATGACAAACATGTAACTGAGAGAGAGAGAGATGTTGCTGAAGTTGTAAATGTGGGCATTGTTCACAAACTTACTTTTTCATCATTGTCGTAACTGTAAACAGTCGCTGTCCAAGGAAATAGCTAAGTGAGGACTACCTCTATAGTACTGAATATTCCTTTTTCAGACGGTAGATTAACTGTAATTTTTCCCCCTCTGCATACATTTTGGGAGAAGGTTTTACTGTGCATTTTAGTAATATTCTGATCTAGTACATGCACCATTTTTAATATAAGGATAAAGGAAATCACTCAGACCATGGTTTTTCACACAGGTTTGGGAATCTCAGGAAAATAGGGAAGCCTATGAGATGGTTACACTGTATGTAAGATACTGATCCATTCTCCACTCTCTAGTTTTGTTGATATATATGTTTAACTGTTGTTTTAATTGTTTTAATTGATTATTTTATTGAATGCTATCCAGAGTCACATTTGTGAGATGGGCAGCTATATAAATCTGATATACATACATACATACATACATACATACATACATACATACATACATATCAACTATGTTTTGAAGTTCTAAATCACCTATGCTTTGAAGTTCAATAAACTGAAGTTCAATTCATAGAAGAGGATGATTACTACAGGTAGATGTTTTTTTCTGCTATTTCCTCCTATCTTGGATGCTCCTTTTGTCAGGAATATGTTTGCTTTTTTTACAAAATTGAGTAAACTATTAACAAATACATTAGAATTTTAGTACAGCCAGAAAATTCTTTTCATATCCTAATAAATTTATTTAGTCTGTAGAGCTGAAATTTTTAAATCGTCACATAGTTACAATTTTAATTAATTTTTTATATACTGCATTTAATAAAACATATTTTAATGCCTATGCATCAGTGTATTTTATTTTATATTTTATTTTATTTGAAAATAAAAAAGTAATTTAATCACTCACCAAAGCATATATTTTATATATTAAACAAGCACTAATTGAACATGTATATTAATGATATCAATGTTAACATTTATATAACTGCAGAACAATAGGAAAAAAGGCAACTAATTATATAAATTACTACCATCTATACCAGACATATCAAACTCGCGACGTCACATGACGTTGCACAACGTATCAGAACTTTTTTCTCATTGCCGGCAATGGGGTGGGCACGGTTTCGTTGTGATGTGTCTGGCCTGTGGGCTGGCAGTTTGATCTATACTATCCAAATATTTACGTAATTCACCAAATAGTTTGCCCTTAATATTTAGATATTGGATATTTCAATGCCTTATTCCATACTTCTTGTACTCTTGAGTATCTAATTTAATATATTCCAGCAATAGTGTTATAATTGGCACTTATAAATTTTTATAAGGAACATGTTAAATCTTTCAGTATGGAATAAGAAACCATGTGCCATGATGTCACAATATAAAAACTGCTTATTAATTGCATCAGATATCAGGACAACACTATATAATGGTGGATAAAATCATTGTTTACTGCATTTGTGTTGTTTTGATGTAATATTATCTTGACTAGGATGGATGGATGGATGGATGGATGGATTTGTGTGAGGGCTTCTTCTTTGCTTAGACTTGCAGCCTGGGCTTCTATGGTGATCTCCCATCCAAATATTAACCAGGTCCACTATAGGGGTTACCTAAATGTTGAGAAGATTCTAATATAGTTTGAGAGAGGAAAACAAGAGATTGCAATGGTATTACTGGATCATACTCTTCCTTTAAAGTTTCTAATTATCTATTAAATGGAGTCCTAAGTTTTAGTTTATTAACTATGTCAGTGCTTATCCTGACATATCTTCATTTTCTGCTTTCATTTCTCCAAGTATAATACATTTCAAATTGTCACATTCACAACAATAATAAATATAAATTATAACTATAGGCTATAATTACTTCTACAGAGAAAACACCTGGCCTCTGGTACAATATTAGTGTAATATCTGAATCGTATTTTCTACATATCTACAAAAGTCACATTTCATTGAGATTACGTTAATTGGTATAATTAGATCCTTATTTAAACAAAATGAGAAGGTCTGGCATCTGTGTGTGTGTGTTTGTGTGTATATTGTTTTATAAAGAAGAGAGAATTGAGCAGTTTATTTATGCCAACTCAGTTGGAAGCATTTAAATCTCAATGTAACTCAATATCAATTTCTTCCTTTCCCCCCCACTAATTTTCAGTGTGACCTAATTTGTATCCAATACCATTTGTACAGTATATAGTGATTCTGTATTAGGGAGATATTAATGAGATCAGTCACAAGTGGAATATTAGGGGGTGTGTGTGTGTGTCCATCTGTCTATCTGTCTGTTTGTCTCTCTTTATGTCAGGCAATATCGTTATTTGGGATTCTGCAGGAAAACAAAAGCAAAATAGGAGCAAAAGGCATGGTTTGAAATTGGGAGGGAGAATGCATAAATGTTTAATAAAGTTTGCTAGGGAGAAGCTCAAATGGCCAGAGAGACAGTATTGTGTTCGTTACTATAGCATCACTGAGCACATGTGTGAAGAAAGCCTAGAAAGAGGATGAGCAGCATGTTATAATGTGCTTTAGTCAGATGCATAAGCTTAACATCAGGTCCAGTATTACTCACTTTCAGGTCTATTCCTTTGAAGACTGCAGAATAACAAGAAATGCAAAACAGACCTCCTGCAATTTGCACTGAATTATTGACAATCTTTGGGAGAATCTACTGATAATTTCGGTGTGGTTATTTTGTTTGGAAGATTAACGTATCTGCCAGATCATTCTCCCAAGGAAGAAAAGAAAAAAAAGAACAGAACAGGAAAAAAAGACTATTAGAATTGAAAAACAATTGATGATGATCAGTCTATTTTACATAAAAGGATTTATCTAAGAAAAAACAGAAGATGCCTTTTGAAGTGTTAAATTCGTTAAAAGAGAGACTTTTAAAGCCTGGGAAGGAAGAGGTGAAGAATACTGTAAGTGACTCTCTAGGACACTTGCAAAGGTAACAGTTTCATGTACTGTTAACTTCTACAAAGATTATGGTAAAATTAGAAAGTGAAATATGTATGTGAAATATGTAGGAACAAATTAATAAAACAGGATATACAAGGATATACCTTAGCTAGGTGTGTCCTCAAAACCAGGCAACCCTCCCCCAAAATTTAGATGGTCAACATTTTAGGCAAGCTTAATGTTATTGATAAATCAATTGTTTTGTAGTTTTAAATTAGTACAGCTAAAAATCATGAAGTATTTTAGCTACACTGCTGTGAGTGTGAACAGCAATTGTGTTTTATCTTCAGTCTGTTTAAATACTCTTAAATCCACAAATATGTGCTTGTCTTTGTACTCTTTACCTGAATTTAATATGTGCTTTTTTTACTTAATCATTCTAATATATTTGAAAGTATATTTCACATTCATGAGAGTTATCTGTGAATGAATTTTATATACCATAAATTTCATAATATATTTTAGGGAAAAAACTGTGTTAAATTGTCATAGCAAAAATTAGAAGTCTTGTATGTTAAAAAAGAATCTTTTATTAAGTTCTTATGGAAACTAGTTTTTTATGCAAACAGTAAACTTTTTACAAGGAAAAAATAATGCCTACAATGTCTAATTGGCATGTTTTTGTGTTATTTATTTTCTGAAAACAGCACAGTTGTGTTATCGATGTGCTGTCCTATAACAAGACATTTTCTGGTCATTTTTCAAAATTTTATAAAAGCGTGAACAGGAGTAACATATTATTGTTACAATGTAAAATAATATTATATATAATTTCCTTACAATCTAAACTGCCATCATATGTGCTTAACCACAATTAAATATCTCTCAAGGTAAGTGGGCATTTCTCTATATATACACAGAATTATGTTACAGTATTAATTGCTTATACTAACTGCAGAAAAACAACATGTTTATGTTTTTTGTATTGTCCTGAATAACTGTTTCGATCCATGCTGTCTTTATTTATCAGGACCGACTAGCTCATCTCCTTATTTTGTCTATAATATATAGACATTCATGCATTCATTTGACTTGGTTATTTTCAAAAAGCTAAAAAGTTTATGTGAGACATCACCCAAAAAAAAAAGCAGAATGAGAATTTATATTGTGAAGTCATAACAAAAGCAATAATCTCTTCTCCCAGAGGAAAGCAATGGCAAACCATTTCTACAATGTGGTCAAAAAAACTACATAGATGTATTGTGCAGTCACCAAGAGGCAAGCCAGACTTAATGAGGGAGACATTTTAAATTTTAAATTTGAGCACTAAGCATAAGTGTTTTCCTAGCTTTCCTGGGCAAATTATTTTTAATTTGTAAAAATTTAAAAGCCACCTTCATATTAGCCCAAAGCTGATATTTCTTCATATTTTTCCAAAGTTTTAGGTTGCTGCTATTGTTAATATTAACCGTCTCTGAGTGTGATATTTATTGTCTCATTTAAATGAAGATATATCTATAAATATTAACAAATAATTTAAGTTGTGCATAGATTAGACCCAAGCCTTTTGGCATTCTTTCAAATATATATATATATATTTAATCACTGAGTTATTTTCTAAATTCTATTTCAATTCCATTCAGATAGGAAACTTATATGATTTATTTTCCATATCCATTTTGCAATTTATATTGAATCCTGGTGGATTGTTACATTGTTGATACTGTATCTTCATCTTGTTTATTTTTCTTTTAACTCTTTTGCTCACGGACATAAAAATACAAATATAAGATAAATAAGATAGATTCTCCATCTTGCTGTCCCACCCAAAAAAACCTGCATATGAAGCATTGCTCTATGTGACCACCTAGAATAATTTAACACTAAGACTACCTTTGCATAAAATATTTAGTAAATTCTGTAATGAGTGAGGAACCATCAGACATGCAATATTTTAAAACCATGCATCTAATATTTATTTAATATTATCTACAAAATATCAGTATTATATTTGTTGGTGTACTATATTGCAGGAATGGATTATAATTATAATTAAATGAAATAAATGATACTGCCCAGTATTGATGAGAAACTAATCAAGCTGCAGCTGTCTTTTTAAATTAAAACTACTTAAAATTTTTAGAACTGGGGGAGTTTTATAAATTAAAATGTCCTTTTGAGTCTCCATCTAATAACTTGACTTCAAGTCCATGTATGAAAACCTAAACTACTAAAATTACCTTTGGGATTATATTTAAACAGGTTAGTTTTACAGTTAGAATTAAATCTGTTGATCCGTCTGATAATTTCAAATAGTAAACAATATCTTGAACTGAGATTCTTCCATGAATGTGGCATAGAACAACTGCCATCCCCACAAGAAAGGTTCTGAAGTTATTGTTAGTTGGTTTAGACATATGTAACATCTCTTTTTTTGAACATGGATTAGATTGCAAGCTGCTTAAGTTAGAGATCTGACTTCTATGCTTCTGTTAAATAATGTGACAGGTATGTTGAGAAGAAATATCTATATCATAGTAGGAAACAGCCAACAGAAATTGTCAGAGTAATAATACTATAAGTCACCCCAGCCAGGTACTGAGAGTCCTTCTCAATCCCTGGAAACTTAATTTTATCTCATAAATCTAATTTTTTAAAAAAGAAGAAAGGCGTTTCTTTAAAAAAGGAAAACAATTGATTTCAAAATATTCACTAGCAGGTAACATTTTCTAGTGAATCATTTGACAGCAAGAATTGCTAAAAAAAAGACTCGTCTATGGAGATTCTCAGTCATCCAGGTCATAGTTATCCCAAAGGTGCTGTTTCACAAGGCAACTGGACTTTCTTGATTTTCTTTGAAGATGTTTCACTTCTCATCCAAGAAGCTTCTTCAGCCCTTGTTTCAGCTCAGAGCTGAAGAAGCTTCTTGGATGAGAAGCAAAACGTCTTCAAAGAAAAACAAGGAAGTCCAGTTGCCTCGTGAAAAAGCACCTTTGGGATAAAAGAAGACTCCTTTCACATTTCAAACTGAATGAGACAAGTAGAGTTTTAAATTAAGCAAAATTCAGTTTTGCAGCCTTTCTGCGGCTTCCCGTTTTGCACTATTTCTCTGTGTTTTACAGGATGCTATATAAATTAGGAAACAGTAGCAATGTCCTTTCTCGTTTTGGTTTTTTTTTTTTAGAATTATTCTGTTTGTCTGAAGTATATACTATAGTTGGAGCTTTTCAACATTCTCTTGTATTGTTCTTATCAGTCTATCCTTTTACCTTATCCACATCACCCTTTTTCAGATGGATTAGGAATTAAGCCTTTGAAGCCAGCTCTGCTTCCCATCCACAGTTTCTCCTAAACATTTTGGATTAATATGGATAGTAAAAACAAGATGTTCTTTACTGAACTTTTAAAATATTGAGTGCAAGAGCAATATTATATAAGAATTATATATATATATATATATATATATATATATATATATATATATATATATATATATATATATATATATATATATATATATATATATATATATATATATATATATATATATATATATATATATATA